AACCCCCTCTCCAAACCCTCTTTCCAACCGCCCCTGTCCAACTCCTTTTATTGTTCTATTGTTCTATCCATCTTTTACCATTTTTTTTCATTTCCTTAATTCTTTCTTCTCCATACTAAATTTTTTTGTTTCTTATGGGTTAAATATTTATTTTTCCTTCATCCACTTTCTTATATTAGATTTACATACCCCCCATTTCCCTTCTCCTAATTCCACTTTTTTCCTTCCCCTCCCCATCTGTGATGAGAAATGTCAAAAGAAATTTATGAATCGATGATATCTTTGTTTTCATCAAAACTTAGTAATAAGGGGCCTTCTTTTCTAACTTCAACTTCTTGTTTCTCTATCAGAGCCAAGCTAGAAAATAGCTATGTTTTACGATCTATATAAAGCAAATTCTATTCATCTATTAAGTAAATGTTGTATATCACAAATATGTGTTGGTTGACTTCTTAGAGCATAGTTTATTAACTGAGAGAAGATATGTGCTAATCTTAGCTCAGATATTCTTTTAGAACTTCAGAACAAGATTACCAGGAAGAGACTAATCAAATTAAAAACAAGAATATCATAAAATGAGAAGAAATATAATTCAATGGTTCCAACTAATTCAGTTAATCTATTTTATATTAACCTTCCGATATGAAATAAAGAAGCCAATTGTAAGTAATACCACAAAGAATATGAATATAAATCAATAATTCTTATCTAAACCCCCCAAAAAATAAAAAAACCCCCCCTTGCACACCTTAATCCCCTAGAGCAGTTTAATCCCCCCCCTCTTCGTTCCCTGTGAAGCCATATTACGTTGAGTTTATCATCAGTTCTAGGAGTTTAGAGCCAGGGTCAGGTGTGTTTACGTTTTAATGTTTACATCTTCCAGTATCCTTAGATATCACTTCACATTAAAGTAAATTTAGCTTTATTATTGAACGATTAGATGTTTTCAGTCCAATCACTTTTTTTAAAGAGCTTATAAAAAGAACAATAGTTTATTATATGCAACTAAATGAATTGAAATGAAACGTTTAGCATAAAATCAAAATTAGAGAAGCTACGAGGTCACAATGTTGTATCACTTATTTCGCATGCATGAGGAGTTTCCTCTTGCTATATCAGAGAGATTGTATATGTGGAGATATTTAGATTTCATCATTTAAACTTAATTAATTCAATATTTCTGTATAAAATTTTATTCAAGTTTAAACTTATTCAATTAGATTTAATCAGGCAAACATTTAAAGATTAAAAGAGATAAAATTTCTTTATTTTGCTGTTTAATCAAAGGTTCAGATCTCAAGGAAATAGTGTTTAATCGGGTTTTATTGGAATTTGTAATTTTCGTCATAAAAAAATATAATTGTGTAGTAAATGCCCTATTCCAATAAATCCTTTTAGACACGTATCAATCCAGGTACAACTCAATCCTCTTCGTTGGTGTACGAGGCATAAGAACTAGTCAGTTCAAAACTACGTTACTATCAATGTCAATTCGGACACGACTTTATCCCAACTGAAAGTGATTCAGGACTCTTCTAATTCACAAATTAAGAAACAATTACTCTCACACCGTAATCAAGCTGTAAACTGTTTTCTGCAATTGTTTCTCCGTAACAATTACCGTTTTGTAATAATAAATAACAATTCTCCGTAACAATTACCGTAATCAAAGCGGAGTGTAATTCCAACTAAATATATTTTGGGATCTATGTTACAAGTTATGTTAATCAACGTTTTTACAAGTTTTACGTCGTTTTATGCAAACGTAATTAAGCTAATCATGTTACGTAGTTATTTACAGCGCAGTAAAAATAAATCATGATATGGGTTTTACATAGCTATTTACAAAGGTAGATAATTAATAATGTACAACGTAGTTCAGGTTTACAAATATAGGGTTACACGATATTTATTACAAGTTGTTTAATGTTTTATAATAATATTACAGGACAAGGAAGTTTTTATAATTTACAAAACATTAATTAAATGTTTAAACCTTTAATTGTTTGTCTGTTTTTCTTCTCAAAATTTTTTGCTTTTCCATTAGTTTTGCAGAGGAGATACAAGGTCACAAAGCCGTGCTAATAATGTTTCATAATTTTGACCTTTTCCTACTTTCCTTAGTTCAGTGTGATGAATTACATATTATACATACATATTTTATTTATATATCTAGATATCAAGAATATACTGTTTCAGGTGCAACTGTTTCGTGTGCCAGATAAGTAGAATGGACTAATCCTACAGTCTATCCCTGTATCCCTGTATCCCTGTATCCCTCTTCAGACAATGGAATTGTGCGTATTCATCCAAAATAGAATTAACGTATCCCCCTCAACCAACTAAATCACACAATCTTTAAACAAAGTGAGAAATTAAACTATTTAGTGATAAAAACCCCGTTTATAAACCCCGGAAGTGCTGTGACGTAGACCGGAAGTGAGAACCGGAAGACGGAAGGAAAAGATTAGTTAAAGAACCATTAATCTTAGGTCTAAAGAGCAACATCTACCTTTACTTTGGTATAATCAAACTATACATAGAAATAAGAAAACTTCTTTAGATAATATAAAGTATACCCAATGCACCAGGAAAGGTCTAAACACGGGCGAGCAGGGGGGGGGGGGGGGGGGGGGTTAATTTTTATCTGAAAACAAGATAAAATGTAAAAAGTTGGAATTCCTTTTTCATCTCTTTAACTTCTGTTAAGTCGTTAATTATTTAGTTAACTAACTTTTTTTCACAGATCTTCCAACTTAGTTCTCCAGCTCAGTTAATACTCTCTCCGCTAAAGGTAAGTTATTTAATTTATTTATAAACTATTACTCAAAATTTGTTTTCTTATACTATGTTTATTACTTTAACCCTATCACGACTCACCGGTGGTTTGATTCTAAATAACTAAAACACGGCTCACATTAGAATTCTAAAACTTCTTCACTTTTTCAACTTTAGATTTGTGAACAAAGTTTGGCAAATGTTTTTATGCATGACAGTCAAACAGCCCAGCGGGTCGGTTTTTCTATTAATCAAGGTACAGTACTAAAATGTATGTACTTAAAAAGTACTTGAAAAATGGAAGTAAGAACATGTGTCACAAGTTAACATTTGTCAAAATTAAACATTTTTCTGACGTACTTTTTGATCTTTTTTAGAATGCTCCCTTGCACTCTAACTTTTAAAGATAGAGGTCTAATTTTTTTAATGACCAGGCATTGAAAAGTTGGACTATGAACATGTATCACACTCCCCTTGGGGATCAAAGGGGGGAAACAATCTATATTAGACAAAAATAGCCCAATCGGGATAGGGTTAAGAGGATTTATGAAAAACATGGTAATTGGTCAACGTTTGAACTTACATTGTTAAGTTTTTTAAGATTTTATTAAAAAAATCATTTTAAAACAAAGGAAAATTTATTTAATTTTATCTTTGAATTTTCATTTTCTAGATTATTGGGTAGAGATCATAAAAACCCAAAAATAAAAGTAAATGCATTGCTTAATTATTTGTAAAATATTTTCATGTAGGAGGGCGGTGAGGGGGGGGGGAGGCAAAATATGCAGCTCTGAATTATGAAGGAAAGGCTGCACTAAGTTTAAAACATTTTTTTCTGAAACTTAATTACTAAGTTTAGGAATAAACTTGGTTTATCTTTCGCTGGTTAAAACCTAAGCAGATTAAACACATCTAATATAATTTCTTAACACATTTTTCAAACGAAATTATCGATAAAATCAATGGTAGAATCTAATATTACTTTTTCATAATTATCCAGAATTCTTATTTGAATAAAATTGATTCATCAAACTTTTTCAAAAGTCGTATTTGCAATTAAATTGAAGGAAATCTATGCGGTTTGGATAAAGATCAAATATCACAGAAACAGATGACCATGAATAAATTACCTATTTTCGATTTTTTTGTAGATGTATATTCTGTTGTATCAACTCTCTCTACTGGTCTCCTTGAGCTCCCAGATATCTATACTAGATAGAAAGAAATTATCCTCCTGCAAGTTTAACCCACTCTGCCTCTGCTCATCAAACGGTAAATATTCTCTGTAAATGTAAAAAAAATCTCATTTTTATTTTGCAAAAGTAGTTGAACATTTGCCACAAACTCTTTTCATCATATCCTTATATCGATGTAACCTGACTTAGAGATGGCGCGTTTGAGTATTTTTTTATTTCGTTCGTTCAACGCTCGTTCTCAAAATTATCGTTCATTTTCCGCTTATTTCGTTCGTTTTCTCAATGAACGATTGTTCAGTAAACTTGTTTGTTTAATAAAATCGTTCTTTCAGTAAAAAACCGATCGTTTTTCAAATGGTCGTTCGAAAAAATCTTTCATTTAGTAAATAAAATAACGTTTTTTAAAGTTTGCTAGAACAAATCGATTGTTCAGTAAAAAACGATAGTTTTTATAGTTCGTTTTTTCGTTTTGTTTTTTCATTTCTCTGAACAATCCAAGTCGTTCGTCCATCGTTCGTTTTTTCTGATTGACACCATCGTTTACCAAAAATGTTTTTCGTTTTTAAAAGTGTTGTTTATTGACAAAAACGATGTCCATCTCTAATGATCTCTCTGATGATGCAAATCTTTGATATTTTAAACGTCGACTGTTGTATTTGTCAGATTTTAAAGTTAAAACAACTAAAGTCTACGAAAACATTATTAGAGTTTCTAGTGCTCACTTCCTTAATGTACTATGTACATATCCTATTAAACTATGTACAACTGCAGTACTGTACATACTGTAGGGGATGATCTGGGGGCTGTAGAGTGCAATGGTATAGAACTAGCAGACGTTCCACAAGATCTCATAGAATCGAGGCACAAAATATATATTTTTAACCTTTTTTAAAATCATAATATGCGTATTTTTAAACTCAAAAAGTCAGACGCATAAAACTGTGGAATAGGAAGACGACATTTAAGGAATATCATGAGTATTGGATTCAAAACTGCTATAGTAGACATAAAAAATAAATCTATCAAGTTTGAGTATAAAAGTCTTCGTCTTATTTCACAGTTTTATGGGATACCCTGGATAATTTTTCCTGTGTACAAAAGGAAAACATGATAAATAACCTTGCATTAATTTGTTTTTGCTTCCACGGCTTCTTTAAATAATCCAGCGTATCCAGATTAATCCAGTTGTATCCAGATTAATCCTATAAGATTATCTAATTGTTCTTAAACCACTTCTTACACCACTTAAAGCATTATTATTGTAAACGTATCACCCTTGTTTTGACTCTCCGGTAGAGTCTGCGGTCTAATCCAATCAGGGTTCAGTCACGTGCTTGGGGACTATTCAGAACCAATAGAAATTGCAACGGTTATAATATCTATATCTATCTATTAATCGTGCTTTAAACGTCTTTAGCGTTTTTTATCTTTTAACATTTTCTTATAAATCAAGAATGAAATTAAGCAACCAAATTCTATTATATTCTTGGTCCCTTTATCTTCTGGTGGGAATTGGGACCATTTGCACAATGACCCAAAGATTGCAAGCAGTTGCAAGCTTGGGCTAACTTTTCTTATCATCTTGCTAATTTCACATTTTTAATTAAAGCAAAAAACACGTGCTTTTGAGTCAGACAATGTACAAAACTAGGAGTAAAAACATGTTAGGCAATTAGTGCGGCGAAAATCGAAATCAATTGTCAGGCGTTGCGACACTTTCAAGTAGACCCAGACTTGAAAACTGATGAAACTTTTCACAACATTCAGGTGTTACTCAAAAATAAGATTTCAGAAGAAAAACTCTATATATTTTGTGTACACAGGGTTTTTGCGTTAACCCTGTCATCTAATTCCTTGAGAGTGATACAAGAAGATAGACTGAGAAACATGGGTACGTATAATACACAAGGCGTCCCAGTATAGGATTAAAAAAACAGGATGTCCCAGTGGGATGAAAAACATACGTCCAAGAGGGATTAAAGATATAAGGAGTGTTCCAGTAGGGCTGAAAATAGACGTAAAAATATCTAAAGGGTGTCCCAGTAGGGTTCAAAATATAAAATTTTAATGACATTAATTCACAGGAAACCTCGAACATTAACTTTAGAGTTGCAAAATCTTTAATAATATTATTAATATAAAATGTTTTGACAGTGACACAGTGACATCTGAGAAAGTATTTAATAATCAAATGCTTTTTACAAGTCTAAATATGTTTTTTTTTGTGAAATTATTTAAACTTCTTTTTATTAATTATATGTGTTATTTTTAGGTTGCTGGAGTGTTGAAATCAGTAGAAACCTGCTGACAAGATTACCTCCCGCTACCTTCAGGTTTATATAGATTTAAATTAAGCCTTGAATCTGTCAATAGTACAAAACGTAGTGCTCAGATGGTAATGCCCAATTCACAACATTGAATTATTTTCTGTTCAATAATGTGATAAATACTATAAAGTCACCTTGGAAGAGAAGTCACAAAATCATAAACATTATGATTAATATCTATTCCATGCTTGATCAGACAGCGCTTGTAATGGTACCGTTGTCAATCAGAATTGTCATCTTTTTTAATGGAGGCCCACTTAATATTACCCTGAAACATTTTTTTCTACGGAAAAAGGATAAAACCCAACCAAAAAAAGACATCTTTCCATATTTTCTTAAAAAGAATTTGTTTGATGAATTTGGTTTTGAATCTCTATTTGTGTAATGGTTTAAGTTTCTACTCACTCGGATGATATATGATTATTTCAAGACTATCGACATAAGATGGAGAGGGAGGGATGGGAGAGGGATGGGGGAGGGGGAGGGATGGGAGAGGGATGATAAGATTTGAATATTTGTAAGGGAGGGAAAGAAATGGTATGGTAATATGATAAACTTGAAAACGAAGGAACATGGCAATTACTTTTCATGGGTTGTCTAAAAAAGTATCGACAGAGAANAGAGGGATGATAAGATTTGAATATTTTCAACGGAGGAAAAGAAATGGTATAGTAATATGGTAAACTTGGGAACGGAGGGGCATGAAAATCACTGTTCGTGGATTGTCTAAAAAATTTGAAAAAGATATCATGATATTACTGTATCATGATCAGTAACCAATATCATCATGCCGCGATGCCCTTTTGGTCTCATTTATTTATCCATATTTTACATGAAATTTAAATTGAAAACTAAATGCGAGGTGCGCCCTTTAAATAGTTTCCAGATGTCTATCAGCTTTGTTTAAAATGGGTTGATAAAAATCAAAATATAAAAACTGTATTAAGTTAGAAATAGTCCAAAAATGTTTTTAACAGCTAAGCATTCCCCCTCTCCCCCCCCCCCCCATAAAATGTACATAGGCTTTAAAAGTTTGAGATGACTTTAAGGAATACACTTATAGATTTAATTTCCCCCTCAACAACCTTAATATAAACCCTAATTTACATATCTTATTAAATCAAAGCATTACAGTAATTATAATATTTAGTACTTGTGGAACCACTCTGCACTTACACGGTTTCTCATCCTTGCAAATTAGAATAAATACTAATATTTGCTTACAGGCTTCTTATGCATGATAAAGGTTGGGGCTTCTTTCCTGCTTTCTTCATTTTCTCTTTAAGAAGGATTTTTCAACTTTGAATAGTCAAATATAAGGTTTTGAATTTACTGCGAGTACTGAATCAAATCATCTCCGTAAAGTTCATTGTAAATTTCAAAATAAGGTTTTTTGTCAGTTTTACGCATTATATTTATACTTTTTTAGATATTTTTAGCTTCACATGTTTTAATCAACTTTAATATATGAGAAATCATTTAAAAAAGGTTTGATTGGTACTTTAAATTAATGTGGATTGGAACCATTTTTCGAAAAAAAACTTTTAAAAACTTCTTTAATCAGTTAAATAATGATTCTATTGAGTCTAAAATACTCTGAAATAAAATTTTGGCTTTAATTTCTATGCTTAAAGAATAAATTAAATACTTCTTACGTCACAAGTGTCAACAGTTTTAATTGTCCGACAAAATTATTAATAATAGTAATGATAAAGTGCTTATCTTACAGTAAAAGAAGTGCAATTTGGCGTTAATTAGTTTCTGTTTTTACACTTTTTTTATTTAATTTAGGAAAACTTGTCAACTAATGGGAGAAAATGTTAATTCTTCCTTGTTATATTTGACACTTGTGACGTCATGTACAATTGGTCCATTTCTCTGTTACCACCTATTGTACTATCTATCTATTCCTGTAGGTGTATTGTTTCTAAAGTATAGTTCTTAGTTTTACGAACTTTGAACTCACTTAATAATCTAATATGACATGTTCGAAATTCTGATTAAGGAAACTTTAGGTAACCCTTTAAAAATAGTGTACTGCAGTTTTGTGGTGAAATGTAAACAAACTCAGTCCTGTCCAGGCTAAATTTTGTTAACATATCCCAGCAACTGCTCGAAATACACATTCTTTTATGTAAGTTTCTATATATTCTTAGGTAAAACAATTATGTAAGTAATTACGTAACTCGTAAAAAATGTGTAATCAATGTTTACATCAATGTCTAACGTAATGTTGTTCCTCCTTTATATATGTTAGAGCTGTATGTATGTATGTATGTATGTACGTTGAATGGAGATGATTAATATATGTGGATCATGTTGAACCAAATCATCAAATATAAAATATTCCTAGAATCTGAGATATCTTTAATAGTTGGCGAGGGAAGCGGGTTGGACCGCTCCTCTCTACAGTAAGAGTAAGTCAGAAAGATGGAGGGGGGGGGGGGGACTTCATATTTGATTTCATGGAACAACAAAAAATTAAGAATTTTTTATACGGTTTTTGTAAAAGTAGTTCGGTAGTATGCGCACGCACCGCTGCCTCATTAGTAAAAGTAAATTCAACATATATGAAGCATAAAGTCTGACCGCGTCAACCTTTTTGCACTGGCTAGTCCTGTTGATTGTCTGCTTAATTAAGCCAATGTCCGTGCGGTACAGTAAAAACTGGGACCGGAAAGGTTGACCCGGCTCGGAAATTCAAATGTACTCTACGGCTGCCCGTGTGCGGGATAACAGTAAGAGTAAGTCAGAAAAATGGGAGGAGGGGGGGCTATAGTATTTTACATCAATTTCATGCAACAACAAAAAAATAATTGATCATAATTTTGCCAGTTTTTGTAAACGTGCTTTGATAGAGAAAGGGGAAAGTTGTTAACGGTTTGATCTAAAAAGCTTTTATGGGGTGAAAACAACATGGTTTTTTAGTGCACCGAACTTCAGTCTCAGTAAAAATGCTTAGAAAAAAGAAAATTATTTTTAAAAAAATATGTTTGAATATATTCGACGCAAAGGAAAAAGGAAAAAGGGTATATGATGAAACCTGAGAATCTCAGGCGTTGAACGATACATATAAAACATCTGTCTGATGTTTCTGTCTCGAGAAATTGATATAAAACTGTGTCAAAATTATAGAAAAATTCATATATATTCAATTTTATATAAAAGTTGTAGTATAAAACAGATCATATTCCACAAATACAAAACCAATCTGAAAACGACGATATCCCACAGAAACTTGAGAATCTCAGGTTTGCTCCTGTTATTATCATTTAATTTTTATTTTGCATTTTTAATAGATATAATTGATAATATTATTACATATAGTCCGTAAAGTTCGTATTACGTCACCATAACTTCAGCCAATGGCAGTGCAGTATAATGGTCACTTGATTTTCTTCTGTATCACATGACCAGTATACTGCACTCTCATTGGCGGGAGTTCTTGTGATTTAATACGAACTTCTTAATAATGTTATCAATTATATCTATTAAAAATGGTAAATTAAAAAAAAAATTACAATGGGAGCAAATCTGAGATTCCCAGGTTTCTGTGGGATATAATCGTTTTCAGATTGTTTGAGTATTTGCTGAATATGATCTGTTTAAACCTACTTCTTTTGTACAAAATTTCATATAAATAGATTTTCTTATCATTTTGAATTTCTCGAGACAGGAACATCAGATAGATGTCTTATATGGAATCTTCAATGCCTGAGATTCTCAGATTTTATCCTATATCCTATACCCTTTCATTTTTCCTTTACAGTCCTTTACAGTTAAATTAGATAAATGATTAATACTATACATGAAATATCAATAAGAGATGTCATATTATGTTAATGGATAAAATCATAAATTAATATTCAGTTATTGTTATACTCAGTTTTCAACCTAATACATAAATTTTAGATAATTTTTCAAATATTTAAAAAAAGAGAAAAATGTTTATTCATCGCAGATATCAAACATATCAAAAGTGCAATTATTAAAATTAAGCGGAACAATAGTAGCATACGGATTTGAATATATAGAAAAGACAGTTTTTTTTGTTATTTCTCATTTATGATCTATTTATCTATCTATCTATCTATCTGTCTATTTTAATGTCTGAAAGCTATCTATCTATCCCCGGTGGTCCTATCCTTACAATCTACTTTAATCATTAATATCCTCACGGACGAATACACCTGATGGACCTCTAGGCTCGTCCTATCCCCCCACCTAGAACCCCCCCCCTTCCCCCCCCTCCTGTTCTAATCTCATAATTCATAAATCTTACTCTGAGCAGTGGGCACTAGGTACCCATCTTCCATCCTTCTCAATCTTTGGGTAGTTATAGGCTAGTCCAGTGATCTAATATATTCATATTTATAAGGAAAGGAATTGAGTCGTTGCAACAAACTCTGATTTTCTAATCTCTATATCTTTTCAACCCAATGTCGTAGACCTTAGATATTTCAAACTATGAATTCTTCTAGATAAAAAAACCTAAGTTTGAAATATCAAAGGTTTTTGCCCTCCGGTTAACAAGATACTGGGATGGGAAAATCCGAGTTTGTGGCAAAGACTCAATTCCTTTATTTTGGATTTTGCACACACAGAAATTTTTTTACTTTCTTTGTTCATTTAACGAGAAAAAAAACTAATTGCGCGGACGAGCGAATAATATTAAAACCAATTAAGAATGTTTTTTTTAAAAACTTTTAAAATTTTGACAAAAACATCACGAAAAATATAAGTTTGGGGAATTAACGTAGTTTTTAAGATTTCCGTAAAATAATAATAAAATCATAGAAAGCAAAAGAGTCAAGATAGAGTTTTAGGCCGGTTACTTTTATAGGTTTTTAAACCCTAAGGCCTACTCAGAGGTTCTGATCAATTCTAAATATTTTTAAAGAAAGTCTTCGTTCAAGATTTTTTAATTATTATTTTTATTTTGTATGAAGTTCCTTTTTCTAGTGTGGCCGAGAGTGCTCTATAGAAGTAGTTCAACCCTGTTTACCTATTTGTTAAATTCGACCTCAGTTAAATTGATTATTTTTTAGTATTTCATTGGATCAAAATTTTTTTTTGATTATTTTGAAGATATGAGGAATTAATTTAAAAGGATTCTGTTTATATTTAGTTGTTTGGAGCGGTCAGTCTGGAGGTTAATACTGATACTGTTTATATTTATTGGTTTGTAGAGGTCAGTCTGGAGGTTAATACTGATACTGTTTATATTTAGTGGTTTGTAGAGGTCAGTCTGGAGGTTAATTCTGATACTGTTTACATTTAGTACTTTGGAGAGGTCAGTCTGGAGGTTAATACTGAACCTGTTTATATTTAGTGGCTTGGAGCGGTCAGTCTGGAAGTTAATATTGATACTGTTTACATTTAGTGCTTTGGAGCGGTCAGTCTGGAGGTTAATACTGATACTGTTTATTTTTAGTGGCTTGGAGCGGTCAATCTGGAGGTTAATACTGATACTGTTTATATTTAGTGCCTTGGAGCGGTCAGTCTGGAGGTTAATACTGATACTGTTTATATTTAGTGGTTTGGAGCGGTCAGTCTGGAGGTTAATACTGATACTGTTTATATTTAGTGGCTTGGAGCGGTCAGTCTGGAGGTTAATACTGATACTGTTTATATTTAGTGGTTTGGAGCGGTCAGTCTGGAGGTTAATTCTTGCAGGAAACCGGTTCCAAGAGATACCGTACACTAGTATTCAGAGACTTAATAAACTTAATCATCTAGATCTTGCAGGTACATATCTTTCTAAAAATCTAAATATTCATCTTGAAAAGCTTTGATTTTTCTTTAATCAAAGATGAATTAATAGGATATCCCTTAATTTCTACCTGAAAATATATTATTACTATTGTGGTTGCTCGATGGACTGACTTGCGGAATAATGCCGCTGACACACTGAAGGAAAATTGTCAGAATTCAACGACCATACTTTCCTCATTGTTACTGCTGTGACTTGGACCTTACAATCTATGTTAGTTAAAATTATGTTTACACCTCCCTTTAACAATTAAGCAATGAACAAATATCAATACAACTATCTACAATATGTATTGATAAACTTTTGATTACAATCTATTTGCTGTATCGACCGCGGTTTTCAAAAATATTCCTTTTTTTTAATGATTAATTTATAAACAACTATTTTTGTTCTGTAGATAATGAGATTTGTGAGCTGGATGTTACCCAACTGAAGACTCTACCACCTTCTATTAAATATATTAGTTTAGCCGGAAACTCTATTGCTTCAGGAACAACTGTTAGCTTGGGAAATATCTTTTAACCCCATCCTCCCGCTTGGACTATACACTTAAGTGTTGAAGAAAGTGACTGATGAGTTTTATGGGCGACATTCTCTCTTGTGAATGCAAAAAAGTAGTTTTATCTTTTCGTGAAATACAGGCTACAGCCTTAAAAGGGTAAACAGTTATGCAAATCTGGAGCTAGTTCTAACTTGTGTTCTCTAATTATTTTATATATTTTAGAAAAGCGAAATATATTTCAGTTTAAAAAAAGTCTAAATACGCATATATCCCTAGTCCCTGAAGGAGTATTCTGGAATCTAGGAGAACTGACTGAACTAGATCTAAGCAGGCAAACAACCTGGTTCAATCTTAAAAACAAACAAACTGGTTTTTCCTTAAAAAATAAATCAAAAAATATCCAAATGAAAACAGCAATTTCATTTCCGTTAATTAAACACTAAAAAGTTTGTGTTAACAGGAAGGATATTCATTTTTAATTTTAATTATTAGTTTGTTGTAGGAACAAGAAATATGTATTGATATATTGGGATAAAGATAAACCTACAGGTTCAATGGCAAAGAATTCTTTTTCTGATTTTATGTGTTTTTTCCCTTTCTGAAAAAATAAATAAAATATTTCTTGCTCTTTAACATACAATGTACAATGTGCATTATTGCACAACCAATGTCGCCGAATGAAAAATGAAAGATAAACCGGGTTTTGCTAGGAACATGATAATCAACATACACAGTATGGCTTTAAACACAGGCCTACCCGTCCTGGCAACTCTAAACCTAGCAGACAATTTACTATCCAAAATACCTTTCATGGCTATTGAGAACCTCAACGCTCTAAAAATGCTAGGTGAAAATATTTTAATATATATATTTTTTTTTACATCTGATTACTAATTAATATGTTTTGAAAAATTTAGAAAAATTACACTTTTTGTTTTTGAAATTAAAACCAATTCTATTATTTACCCAAAAAGGATGAAATTTTAGAGACGACTCTACGGAATTTATACTGACTCTTTCTTTATATTCAGCTGTAAATTATTAAATATGTTTCGCTACTTAGCGATTTCCCTAAAGACCTAATATATGTACCGTGTGGTATTTCTCAGGATTGGATCGTAAGACTCCCTTCTCTCAA